AGCCCTGGTGAGAAGGAAGAACAGTAACGGAGATGTTCCATACCCATGATGCCCCAGAATCCAGCAGAATAGCTACAGCTTTCAAGAGTTACTGAAATACATTTCTGAAGGCTTCAAGTGCTGCAGAGCATGCACTGCCTAGCTAGGACAGATTTCCCATTTTTATGTACACACAACTCATAAGGAAGGCACACTGCTGCAGACCCAGCAGCAGGAGAAAAGTACACTGAGGCAACAAGGAAGGCCTTTCACTGCACAGGTTGCAACCACAGGTTCAGCTCACTGCGGGACATCAACAAGGCTGCTTGGAGATATGTGTATGTGGGCAGCTCCAAGGGTTCCCCGGTGTTCAGAAGGGGGATGAGACAGAGGAGCAATGGAATTTCAAATATATTTTAAGACATCCTGCTCTGACATTCTTTCCAAAACACAAGTTTACATCATACAAGCAGAAGACTGTTAATCTTTTGTATGTAACAAAGACCAAAGCAGCCAGCTATGGCACTCACTCGAGGAGATCTTGCAGTGCTCACCAGGTACAAAGGAAAAACCGCCTAAAGCAATGTGCTTTCAAAAAAAGGAATGAAAAAGGACCAGTTTATGCCCAGACCTGGTGTTAGGACAAATAAGACAAGGAATGACAACAGAAAGGTACAAAGTAAGGGAAAAGATCAAGCAGTGGTGGTAGAGAAGACCTCTCATGTAAAACAGAAAACTGGGCACACAAAACACAAGGGGAAGTTTAGCATTTTGAAATTCAAGACAAATTTGGTGATATCATTTTAAGGCCCACCTCACAAGCTGAACATCTGCAATATCATTGGCCCAGCTATCTTGAGTTATACTGTTCTTCTGGCCATTCCACAAAGGTGCAGAACTTGTGTGGAACTGGAAAATAAGAAACAGAAAAATGATTTAAAGCTCTTGCAATTCCCCATGCAAGCTCCAGCACAGAACCAGCAGGAGCTCAGTTTCACCCTGGAAGGTACGTCAAATATTGCTGGTGACCCTCTCCCATCTAAAATGGCACAAATTACAGAATAAATTGCAGCAGACTCAGATTCTGTCTCTGCAGGCTTAAGGATGAAGTTAAACTAGTTCAGATAATTCGAGACTAGGAAGCGGGAATATGTTCCCTCCCACCCACCCATGAGACAGGACATATGGAAAGTGTCCTACTCCCTATCCTGAGTTGCCACGGCAACAGTTAAAAAAAAAAAAATAGAAGTCACAACCTGTCATAGCAGAAGAGCCTACTAGCCAAATACAGCCAATGACCTCAAGGAAGGCAACTTGGGATAGGAATGTGCTGTAGTCTTTCCTACAGAAGTTACCCTGGAAATCATTAACACCAAGCTAAAAATAAGGATGAAACCAGCATAATTCAAGCAAGCCAAGAAAACAGCTAAAACATTAAACACTGAAGTAAGCAGGCAAGATAAAGCAAAAGCCAGAGACAAACCCAGATCCCTTCCCAGAGCAGAGTGCTCACATGTCCCATGGTTTACCTCAGATAGCCGGGCTGTCTTAACTGCAGCCATAATGTTTTCAAGTTCTTTCATGGCATTATCCTACATTGAGATAATAAAGAGTGAAAAAAAACCATAAAGATTTAAATCAAAACATCTGATACAACAAGGATGCTGGCAACCAGAGCAAGCCATGTTCTGGAGAGAGAACACAGCTTAGAAGAAAAAGTAAGCAAATAACTGGTGACATTTTTCATATGCAGAGCATGAACAATCAGTGACAGCTCCGTCCTCCCAAGGTTGAGATGACAGTACTGCATACTTTGCCTACCACCCCTCCCGATGCCAACCACACTGTTAGTACCATACCATGAAGGAGAGCTTGTGCCGCAGCACCGCATTCTGGAAATGGCACTCCTCTACCTCCTTCTGTAAGATGGTCTTCTCCTGGGTGAGCTGTTGTACATTGGCTTTCATCCCATTGAGGGCTAGGGCCAGTGCTTTATTGTTGTGCTTTAAGGAGAGTTTAATAGTGGAGGAGTTGTCTGTGAGGGACAGAGAAGTATCACACAAAATGAGCATCCAAGGTCTCATCCCTGCCTCATCCATTATCATACTTCTTCCTCTTCCCAGAATAGCTTCTGTCAGGCTAAAGTCCCTACAACTCAACAGCTGCACATGAAGTCAGCAATATAATTCCTTCCAGCAACAGAAGACCCCAGGTAACAGCAGGAAAAGTTTAATAGTAACCTGCAACACTTCAGACAGACACTCCATTTTGAGTGGGTCATGCTCATCAAGCTACTGCTTCAATTCTTAGTAAAAGATGGTGTGGTTCATGTGCTTTTCACTTTGAACAAGTCCCTGTAGTTCTGAGGCCTCATCTCCATCCAGAAAGAGGGATTTAAAAACCCCCCACTTTCCTTCATAGTAGCCCTTAAGCAGGGTTTAGATCCATGCTTCCTAATTTCAAAATAAGTAACAGAAATGCCCGGCTTTTTCAAGGTAGTCCAAATTATCTCATTCACTGTCATTGCATTGTTTCCCCCCTAAAACTAAATCAAAGTTGGGCTGGGCTCTGCACAGGATTGCAGATACTCTAAAATACCTTCCACAGTTCTTATTTTTGCTGTTTGGATCCCGAGGACTCAGTTACCCAAGCACAGCTGCCCAATGCCATCTGAGATGCTGCCGAGCAGCCGCTAATGGCCCCAGCAGTTGCTCCAAAGATTTTGCGTTAAACATACCAGTCAGAAATACTTCAGACACTTTTGGGCACCTCAAGTGGTACCTGACACTCATTTGTAGGGTACCCAATTCACTAGAAACCCACAGGCAGAGAAGCAGCTGTTAAACTCTGGATAAAAGGCATAGTTATAACCTGACGTAACTGCCAACAAGATAAAATACACTCACTAATGATTTTCGTTTTGATTTTTGATGCAATAGAGGCGTTCAACTTCGCCGTCTTTAAGGCACACTTTTTCTTCTCCAACATGCGCCCTCTTACACCGCTCAGGCTGAAGAATGTTTCGGAAGCCTCCCGAGATGCCATAGCTGCAGAGAGCGACACCGAGCAAGGTTAGCATCCGCATTCTCCTCTTCAGCAAGCACTTACCGGCCACGACTCACAGTGTCCGCGAGAAGCACCTACGGCCTCGCCCCTCGAGCCGCTGCAGGGCGGACCGAGGCCAAAGCCACACGGCACCGCGCCGCACCTCGCCCCAAGCCAGCCGTTCCCAGGCACGGCAGCCGCCCCCTTCGCCCAGCGGCCCCTCAGCACTGGCTGGGAGCGAAACGGGGCGAACGGACTCCCCGACTCACCTGCGGGCTGGAGCGGCGAGCCCCGCCGGGCGGCGGGGGGCTGCCCCTCACGCCTCCGGAGCAGGGAAAAGAGGGAAGAAACCGATCTGCCCGCCAGGAGATTTTTGAATGCAACCGCTATGGCCGACGGCCCGCCCCCTGCTTCGCTCCGCCTTTCGGCATGGAGGTGGGGTGGTCGGTGGTTGTGGGTGCCGGCTGTCCCGCCGGGGAAGGGAAGGATGGGACCTGCCGTGCACACACTCTCCATCCCTAGAGTCGGTTGCGGCGGGGCGGGGAACGATGCTAACCCCCCTCCCTCGGGGCGCGGGCTGGCCGGCGTGTGCGGAGAGCTCGTGGCGCTCGCGCTTCCGGGTGAGGCCCTGCCGCCATTTTGGGCCGGGGCGCGGCGGCTGCAGGCGGAGCTCTCCGCCCTGATAGAGAGGGCCGCGAAATGCCGCCTGCGCTGCCGGAACCCAGCTCCGGTCTGCTGGAAGCGCCTGACTTGGAGGCTATGTTCGTGGTGCGCTGCTGCCGTCGACTTATCCTAAGCGCGCAGAGCTGAAACTCTTCTGAAAAGCCCTAGCGTTGTTGAGATGGACAAATCTCACTCAAAAGTTAGAGTTTGTTCGCCTGCAGAATTCAACTGGCTTGCAGCTTTCACCTGTGAGAAGGTGGCGTTTTACAGTCTATTAAAAGGATTATTTTTTTCTTAAGTAATTTACATCTCAGCCCAAGTTAATGCTTTGCTTTCCAGACATCTTTGAATTTGTTCTCCGGAAGTTGAAATTGCATATGCAGATGTGATGATGTTAACCATGTCAAGGAAATTACATGTGAGGAAAAAGCCCAATAGTTTGGAGAATAGTAATTTACAACAGAGGTGCAGAGGGATTTTGCAGTACGAATAAGGCTGGTAAAAGCACTTCTAACTTCTGCCACAGGCATGTGGATGGTAGCCCTTTGCAAGCGTCTTACGTTACAATCCTATTTTATGTGGTATTTATTAATACATTTGGTGATGAGCATTAAATAATGCATATAATTAAATGTATTCCTTCCAATTTAATAGCAGAGTGACAAAACACTCCCTGTATCAGCCCTGACGATTGAGTCTGCAGTGGATAACAATGCAGCGGACATGCAGACCTGTGTGTTGCTTTATTTCTTGCTATGGGGAACCTGTGACTCCTCAAATGTGCTATGGTATGGGGAAAAGACTTAAGTATCCTTTCCTGGTATGTATTCTGTGCTCTGTGAATGACAAATTCCACAGTTTGAGGAAACTTGCTAAGTTTACTAACACACTGGTCAGCAGATTAACCGTGTACTGCTTAAAACCAGGGCCTTTCCCACACAGCCCTATTTAACACTGGAGATCTTTGCAGATGTCAATTACTTGGGTTTTTAAAAGTGATTGGGCAGGTTTGTGGAAGTAAAAAACAACGAAGGGCCATTGACTACCGAGACAATACTTTTTGCTTAGGAAGGGCCTGAGCTGCAAATCAGTGGAGAACAGGGAAGGACTGAAAGTTTGATGCCTACTGGCGCAACTCTTCCATCTCTTCCGCAGTAATCCACCAGTGGCCGCTACTCCCCGCCGTCGGAAAAGCGCAAACACAGCGCCACCACCCCGCTCCCTGCCATACAATGATACAGAAGCATTTCTTGCTTTGTGGGAAATAGCAGAGGGCAGCTCACCCCGAGGGCTCTGGACAGGAAAGTCCCTTGCCACATAATAGGAGAGGGGTTCTGTTAGCAGGACTTTGGGGAAGCCCTGGCATGGCTGTGTTCGCTTTGTGAAGGTCACTTTTCATACTCACCTCGCCATACCAGCAGATAAGCCCTGGGCAGGTGTAACTGGAGGAAAGGCAGGCAGTAGGTCTGCCTTTCTCATCACAAACAAACAGTAGCTCTACTGGGGACACAGGGTTGCTATGAAGCTTGCCAAGCAGGTGCCCTAAGAAATCAAATCCAACTTTATTATAAACCCTGCAGCTGGAATGAAAGGGGCGAGTAGTGCTAAACTTGGTGCTCATTTTGCCATAGAATTAATGAGAATGACATCAAATGCCACAAGGAGGGGTAATTCCCAAATTCCAGCTCTCCCTCAGTGGCCACCCACCAGATTTTCCACTGCTGTGGCAAAGACAAGGTAGGTGGCAGAACAATGCCTGCCACCTTTACCTCTTGCACCTTCCTAGGCACATGCACAACACTAACTGTAAATCTGAGCTGGGAAAGCACAGCACAGATTCTGTAAATACCAAGTAGGCTTTTTCCTGGAAAACATCTTCTGTCTTACGATAGTGCATTTACTATTGTTTTCTTAAACCATCACAAAGTCGATGTTATGATTATGTCTCATAAACCCATTTCTATTGTTTATTAGGTAATCAATTAATAACATGAGAAGTACATCCCAAGGAGGTGGACAGCTCTTTCCATTCAGAAGTACAGTCTGTACACCTTGCTAATCTACAAAATCCAATTGCTTCTCACCAACTTGTTAGGCATCATGATGCATTGGCTACCAGCAGTCCTGTGCAGAATGTTCCCCGCAACCACTGGAAGGCCAACAGCAGGATGTAGTAAGTTGTGTTGGAATTTCTTGCCTGTTAGAATTTCTTCTAATGCTGTAAGCAAAAACATAACATTGATAAAAGAACAAGCAGCAGGATCCTTGTGAAAGGATATAAACACTGCAAATGGAACCCCAGATGGGCTCTTGGGAGGTATCAGGTCTATTTTTTTGTTCTGTACAGGGGTATGCTAGAACAGTGAAAGGTGACAGTGTCTTTTACAAGCAATTAGATCCATCAGAAAACACAGTGAGTAGTCTCTGCCTCCCCTGTTAGCAAGTCTTCTGTTTCCAGCTAGCCACTCAGCAGTGAAACTCAATGCCTAGCAGCATAAAAGGATCATTTAGCTTGAAACAACAATCCAGTGCAGGTTTAACCTTTTCTGTGTTGTTGTTTGTTTGTTGGGTTTTATTTCTCTTTTAATTTGGCCCAGCTCAGCAGCATTGTTTCTAAGCAACAGGAGAAATCTACAGTCCAGTGTGAAGCCATAGTGTAATTACCCTGGCATACAAACTGAGTGGCAGAGGCAAGAAAGGAACAGCAATATCAAGAGGGAATTTCTCCTTATAGATACCTGAAGTCAGAGGCTCCAAACCCAGATCCTGAGGCCTTTTCCGAGAGTTGACACAGGTATTGTGTGATTTCTTGTAAACATGTATGAGAGAGATAATAGGGGGACAATATCCAATAACACAGAGATCTTACTAGACATATTATTACTTTGTGCATAATGGAGCAAAGGAGTGAAGCCTGCACTTTAATACTACAATAAATTGATAGGTCAGGTGCTTCTCTCTTTGCTGTGTCCTGTCAGGCCAGCTGTTACGTCTTCCACTCTTTCTTCTTCCCAGTTCATCCCTTCTTTTTACCACATAGATCTCATTAATACACATACAGCGTCAAGAGCAACGCATGGCTAAGAAACTCAGCAGCAGCAGCAGATTAATAGATTGCATTATATGTGAGAATATACATGACTGTCATGGGGATGCAAGCAACCTGCAAGCTGACACTCAGATCAATGCTTATTTTAAATGGGCTCATTCTGCCCATTTCCCATTACCAAACTCCTTACCCTCAGTTTCAGTGTTTTGCATGTTGTCTTCTCTTTCTTGACTAGATTTTTCTCAGCCTCTGTTGTAATCCAACCTGGGAAATGGGTTTAAGTGGATTTTTGTAGGGGGTCTCCAAGTGTCCCATACTCTTTATCTATGATTCCTGTTTGCTTACTGACAGAGATATTTTGGTAGGATACACTTTTCTCTCTCCTAGATCCCATTGAGCATCTGTTACAGGAGCTAGAGTATGGAAAGAAAACGCCTGAAGAAAGAGGTTGAAAAACTGCTGTAAGTAGCAACTGCTCACAGCTGCCTTCATTGCATTTCAGATGGACTTGTTTTTGTTTCAAAGTGTTGCATGACCTAGCTGGATGACAACTCTAAAACCTTAAGTCTTTTCTTGCTGGAAGGTAGGAACAGACTTCCTTTAAGATGTTTTTCATTTTTTCAAATGCAGTCTGCAGTGTGACACTTGACTGCATATGTGACAGTAGAGATGTCACAGCCTAGAATTGCTCTGTGTCAGTGGGAGTGACCAGAGTTCTTCCCTTGCCATGCAGCCAGTGCAGCTGCTGTAAGGTGTCTCCTAGTTCACGCATCAGGATCTCATGCTCTCAATTCAGAAGCACCCAGCGACAACTCCTAGAGGATGAAAACAATGTCCCATCTAATCCATACGAGTCCTGTGCCCATCTTCTCCAGGACTGCTTGGATGGATCAGTAGCATTTAGTCTGAGGACAAATTGCAGAATCAGACCTCCCTTGAATGAGAAGAACAAGCACCACTGAAGCATCTCTTTCAGTCTCTTTGCCACATAGTGAAATCCTTCTGTGAGTCCCCAGACTTTAAATATTTAATTAATATTTGTACTTAATTCCTGTATTTTGGAGCCTTTGTGGAAGACAGCAGTGTGGTTGAGTGAAGTTAATATTAGCAGTGATGCAGAAAATTAACAGCTTTCCAACTTAGGAGGTGTCTGTGAGAAATCCTGCAGCAGATTCCTAGCCCTGTATCACAGCAAATTTAGCCCCAGTCTTGCACTAGGTTTAATCTATTGCATTTCTTATGCACAAGGTTGTAATTTGGAGTTATTTTCTTGCTTTAAGGGGAGATTATGTTGGCATCAGACTGCAAGAAAATGAATTCGATCCAAGAGGACAAAGGCAGCCCACTTTTCTAGATGACATGGTAATCACCAGACTTCTTACTTCTTATCGTTTTTAACTGCATGGCTACTGAGAACTCTGAAGGATGGCTGTTTGGTACAGTTAAATAATCTGTTCCTACAATCATCAGTAAAAGCCTATCACTGAAATGACTGTCAAAAGAGACTGGCTGTGAATAGCACCCAGGTGTAATGTATCCAATATAATTCAAGCTTTTGCTGATTTTTTGGCAAGGCTGAACTTATCCACAGGGAACATTCAAGTCAACTAAACAAAGGGAATTCTTCACAAACTGAAGCTGTCTATGTATAACCAAATGTCTTTCAGCTAAGCTGAGAAAGCCTTCCTGGTATGTTTAAAACCCCTCAAACTTCAGCAAAAGTCTTACAACTGGTGAGGTACCCAGTGTAGTTGAGACAATACTGGCCTTCAGCTCACATTTCCCTGCATTTCTCTAGTCTTTCTGTCATCCCTCAGTTAAGCAATTACAGTAAAACAAAATACATAAGGTTATTCTGTCTTTCCAGGTCCATTACAACTTATCCCTCAGCATTGCTTTGATGTGGCTTCGTGACTTGGGTGCTCAGGCTGCACTGACAAGAGAGAAAATGTGAGTATTGCAAAGCAAAGGTCCCGCTGTTGCAGTGGGTCACACCAGTGTGAAAATGGAGTAAAAGCAGCAGTAAATCAGGCTCAGGACTACTTTTTGTGTATATAACACCAGGCTAATAATCTTCTTGTTTAAAACACCGTACAGGAATTTTGCAGCTCACAACCGATACGCATATCCCAACCGAATTGAGAGAGAAGCTATGATATTATCTTCATATGCTGGAATATTAATGGTAAGAAGGCAAGAAAGATATAAATACCTTTTGCTCTATGCCATCTGTTTAGGAACACTCCTTGTATCCTGAATGACTGTGTTCATTGAAAGCACAGTATACAGGTATGCTAATACTACAAATCTGTCTCTTTTTTTATCAGGTAGCCATTAAGTTTTGCTCAGCCTTAGAAAAAAAGAAAAAATAGGCAGTTTTGGTAGGTGATCTGTGTATGTGTATAGGCTACTTACCTTGTCTCACCGAAGTGCAAAACAGTAAGCAAGTTCCAGAACCAGATCTCAATAGATTTGTACTAGCAGCATGGAACAATACTAGGAGCTCACATGAAGGAGATTAAATGAAAGGAATATGAGCTGGATTTCATACATTCACTTTAAAGAATGCTACTTCTGAGAGCTGAGCCTCCTTACTTGCCTTCACAGAACAGCATTCCTGTTGAAGAGATCTTTGAGATTTACAGGCCCTCAGCAGCACACTGTCAAAGCTCTGCAAAGGTGAGTGATTTATCAGTTTTTCCTCATCTCTAATATGGATTTGAGTGAAGATCTCTCTTACCTATGTGGACTGGTCCAGTATGTAATGTGTTGGGCTGGCATTCTGGGAGTGTGATCCACATATGGATTATTTTGTCTCATTTAGAGTAAACGTGGTTGAACTATTATTTCCTTCTCACATCTCACAATAGCTTAGAGCCTTGTGGGTGGTCTTTTAGCATCATAACAAGGTATAAAGCCTACATGTGCTACATACACATAACTATATGTGTAGTTATCCATGGAGTACTTCATTCCTGCTGCTAGTCTTGAGAATGTGCGTCAAAGCTGCAGAGTGCAGCACACTTCTTAATTGCTAGCAGATCTTATTGTATGTTGGCGTGTTATAGCTCCTGTTTATTCCGCTCTCCCATACTAATAAAGGAAGGGACTTCATTCTGTGAAAAACAGTCACTATTGTTAGACCAGCAGTGGTTGAGGATATGTGCATGATAGCTGGCAACATCAGCACAATAAACTCACTCATCTCCTTGTTACAGCACAATACAAGAATTCAGGTAGCATTCAAGACCACACTCTAGGTATGACCGTGTGTGTTTTACCCAAAGTTCACGCTTTCCTTTGGGATTGTCATCTGGCTGCCAAAGATGTACTTTGTCTGCACCAGGCATGAGCCAGAACTTTAGCCGGAGGAGCGCATGGCATCTCTATGCAAACATTTAAGAAAGAGCAGCAGCTGCTAGGGAAGGAGATATGAGGACATATGTAAGGATATGTGTGGGGTGACTATTAAGAGACACATGCTCTTGGAAGGAGGCATCCCCTCCATGCCAAGGCCTGCAGGGAAAAAAATGCATAGGAAAAGTCAGAAGTACAGAGAAACACTAGACAGAAAACAGTCACAAGCCCATCCTCCTTTGCCACTCATCACCTCACAGAAGGAATTGGGTCAGACTGAATGTAACCATGAAAAAAGGGAAGTTGAAATTGGGCAGCAGAGGAAAGGTGCTTACTATATTTTAACTTCTGGAGTTTGACCTCTTTACACCACTACTGGGATCAGAAATCTCTAGCAGCATAACGGCTACTTCTAAAATCCCTGATTCATCTTCAGTCTAGAAGTCACACATTGCATGCTAGAATATTTGAATGATGTGCTTCCGGGTTTAGAGGTTTATGGAGACTTTTTATTGGCATGCTTCTTTTGGCTTAAATGCCTGGCTGACTGCAGACACTCCTTGGTTCCTTTCTGGCCTGCACACTGATGTGGGACTTTGCCAACCCAAGCAAACAAAGTGGTAGTGTGGGGAAGGCAGGCACATAAAAGCTTTTGTCTTTGGTAGCTGACCTTCAGGGAGATGTTTTTCTTCTTCAAAGGGCAGAGGCTGTTGTACTGTTCCTCTTCTGGACCTCTGCTAGAAATTATCCCCAGGCTACCAGAAAAAGAAACTGTGTATTTGGTCCATGTAAAACTGGATACAGCAGAAAAATGTAACTGAGCAACCAGATGGATAAAAAAAAAGGCCTTCAGTAGATAAAAAGGAGATACTTTGTCCAGCCTTACTAATCAGGTCTCATCTTAGCCCTGCAGAAATTTCACCAGTTAAAACTTTTCAGTTCTACCCTGCCCAGGAACTAATTCTTACCTTAGCCCCAGTCTTAAGTGGTATCCCATTCCCAAACATATCTAAAAGGCTTTCATCGTTGCTAGTGTCACACACATTGCAGAATCTATCCCACGTTTTTTGACATCTTCTGCCCTTTAGGTCCACATTTGGTGGTACTAGTGACTCTTAGCTTTGGCCATAGCAGTGATACGCTCTTGGTTTTTTTTCCAACCAGCCTACTGCCTAGACTGGTGTGCTGCAGGCAATGAAGTAGAAGGAAGCTCCTGCTGCATAAAGGCCTAATGCAATTGGATCCTATAATATCTTGTGCCTTTAAAAAATGTTACATTTTAAGTCATTTGCCCTTTTTGCTCCATTAGTAATAACAAACTAACTCCAGCTTTCCCTCTTTGAACAGAGCAAAAAGCTGAACTATTAACCTCCTCCTCTACCTCACAGTGTGCCAGGCAAGAAAAGGGCAGCCCAATTACTCACAACCACACTAAGATGTAACCCAGCTCCTGGGCCTTTGGCATAGTGCTTTACAGAGCAGAATTCCCACTAGCATGCTGTGATTACCACTAATGTGGAATGGAGGAAGAGGCTATTTAGATCCAAGGAGATACAGCCTGCTTCACAAGGGCTTTGCCTGTGTTCAGAGCAAGTTTCTCTAGCAGAAGATCTTTAGTCATGTAAGTGTAATTGCCCTTCAAAAAAACAGGGGAGGTATTATACTCTTTAATTCATGACTCCAATCAAAAGAAAGTATTCTGTATGGCCCAGCTATTTAACGAAAGAGCATTTGTAGCAGGAATATAGAGATTTCATTTTCAGTAACACAGACTTTATTGATGTTTCCCAAGCAACCATTAAAAGTTGCTGTGGGATTGTAATCAGAGTACAAAAGATGATTCACATGTAATTCACAGTGGTTCTGGTGCACTTAGTTTATTTTTTGTTTACTTTAGTCATGCTTAGCCATAATATTAAAAACGGACTGCCATCCGATGTCCAGAAAGTGCTAGAGCTCACTCCAGCTCACAGTTACATGCATCAGAACAGCCTTGGCCATAACCTCTTAGTTGAATTTTCCCATGTCAAGAACTAGACATGCCACTAGATGCCACGTAGGGGCATTTCACATGTTAGGTTGAAGGAGGAATCTTCCACTCTGCTCCCGAGATAATTGGGTGGATCAACTTTCCCTCTTTTGCTGTGGACATTACATTGTGCATTTTTATTGTCATGCTTCTTATGGGCAAGAATCCTTTTCTCTAGGAATTCCCAACCCAGGATATTTTTTGAAGTCTCCATGTTGAGTGCACAGCATACAGTGGAGAGGAGTGGTGTTTTCTTGAAAGTGTTCCACCTACTCATGCTGCTTCCCATGGTGGTTTGTGGGGTTTGTCAGTTTGGGTTTGTTTGGGGTTTTTTCGTGGGTTGTTTTTTTTTTTTTTTTTTGCTGTTTTGTTTGGTTTTTGGTTTGGTTTGGTTTGGGGGGGGGGATTTTGTGGGGGATTTCTTGTGGCTTTTTTGTTGTTGCTTGGGGTTTTGGATTTTATTTTGGGGGGGAGGAGGTAGTGGGGTGTTTACCTTTGATTTATATTCTGATGTTATGCAATTAGAGACAAAGAAAGAACAGAAACAGTCTGTCTGTTCATCTCATATTACTGTGCACTTGCCTAGATCCTGTCCCTAGTGGACTTGTGGATACTTCCCTGCTGCTCATGAAATAGCTGTTCAGCTGTAACAGGGTTTTTTCTCCTTCATAGTAGCTGATGCAGTGCTGTGTTTCAGCTTTAGCCTTAGAACAATGCTGATAACACACTGATGTTTTAGTTGTTGCTAGAAATTGATTACTCCGATCAAGGACTTTTCAGTCTCATGCTCTGCCAGTAAGGTACTGGAAGCTGGGGGGAATCAGTGACAAGACACCTGACCCAGACTAGCCAAAGGGGTATTCCATACCACAGCACATCATGCCAAGTATATACACTGGAGGGAGTTAACACGGAAAGCCCAGATTGCTGCTTGGGTCGAGCTAGGTATCGGTTGGCAGGTGGTGAGCAATTGTATTCTCTCCCCTTGTTATTTCCCTTATCATGTTAGGTGGTGGTAGTAGTAGTAGATTGTACTTTAGTTATTGGACTGTTCTTATCTCAACCCATGGTATTTCCATTCTTTCAATTCTCCTCCCTAACCTGCCTGGAGCAGGGGAAAAGGAAAGGAGTGAGTGAACAGCTGTGTGGTACTTTGCTACCAGCTGGACTTAAACCATGACAATAGCAGAGTTAGAAAATTTTCTAAAGAGGAAGATAAACCACTGCTATCAGGGTCTCCAGTTTCTATTTCAGACAACAGCACTGCTTAGATTTAATCATGGGAATAAGATCATTTCCACTTTGGGAAAGGAACGGAAATGCTTTGCTGAATTTGGGAACTGAGGGTAATTTATTTTGCAAAGCCCTAATTAGTTTAAGAGGTTAAATCTACTGTTTTCATTAACTGTAACTCTTGGAGCACAGCTTGTGGCTCTTAAAGAGTCCTGGACTTAAAGATCTGGAATCCAGCCCATCTCAAAGATCAGTTTCTCTGGATCTCTAGTTATCTTTTTTTTGTTCCCTGTTTCCCACCAAAGTAAATTGGTGGAGAATCTCCATCAGTTCTGAAGCCTTGGCTTAGCTTTCCTTGCAAATCAAGCACTAGCTGCACAAAGATATGTAGATACTTAGGGAGCTAAGTCACATCCTAGTGGGATTCTGATTCATAAGAAGGGACATCCTGGCCTGAAATGGATGTAATGGTTGCTATCCTGACTGCCTGTCACTTCTCAGTTTCCTATTCTGTTGTCTGGCTCTTTCAGGAGCTGCCATATGAACAGCTGAGGAGCTGCAGGCTGCTGCCAGAATGCTATGGCAGACCACAATCCACAGGCTGCACCAGCGCACACATGGCTATAAAATGCAGCAGCTCAGCTACTATGTGGATAACTGAAATGTCTGGCCAGTGGGAATGGGCACTTCAAGAAGCTGGGTGGATCAAGCAGCCAGGACAAAAACTGTCAGCAAAGCTGTCCTTATTTATCTACCAGGACCTCTTAAGCAGTTATTTTGCTTTCTGCTAACCCCAACAGAGACTGCCCATTTGGCTAGGCACACAGTTTCTGCAGACATACTAATCCATGAATTATTGTCTTTCCAGAACCACTGGATTCATCCTTTCAAGCTCTCCCTGCATCCATTTGCCATGCTGACTGCCCCTGAAGCTGCACAGTATGCCTGCAAGCAAAGTGAGCACATTTTACTCCAACTCCCACAAGGCTAGGGCAGGGGGATGTGGGGCAGCAGTGCCTGGCCGAGAAGAGCCACCAAGTTACAGCCTGCTGAACTGCAACAGATGCATGTGAGAAGGATAGAATAAACCTTGGGCTGTGCCTATTCTCTCGCAGGGAGGGAAGGTACGGGCATTTTCTCATTGTAGCCTAGAAACAGTGTCTAGCTCAGGCTCCTCAAGTTTACAACAGTTGCAAAGGGAGCATTTTCCTCCAGGTGAACGGTAAGATTACATGTTTCTAGTAGAATCAGCCTTTACATCTGACAGTCACTTGTTTGTTCTTAAGCTTCAGTTAATAGCAGGAATTTTGCAAAGGTCAGTTATGTTACTGGCCAGTGAAAGCCACCCACCCCTTCCCTGCTTCATTTCCAAGTGCAGCAAAAATGAGAGTAACTTCAGCAGCATTAGAGAATTTGAAGCTGGGACCCCCTACCTCCAACCACATATTGCAGCTGATCCCATGCAGTAGGTCTGTAAACCAGTCTGGTGGTACTGTACAAGCCCAAGGTGATGCAAGACTCTTTCTCTCTCACAAGGCATCAGGTTCCAGACAGCAGCAGCATATCAAAAGAACAGCCCTGGTTCAAGGAGAGCTAAAAAGGACAGCAAGCAACTGGACTCACTGACCAAAGGAAAACACCAGGTTGGCAATGCCAGTGAAACTATTTTTGCAACCCTAGCACTGACTGTCACAGCTAGAGCACACCTAGGCCACCCAGAGCCCACAAAACCTTTTTTGTCTCATGCTAAAACATGCTGAGAAGTGCAGACATTTCATACTAGTACTGATTTATAACTGTCAATCCTAAATTGCACTTTCATGGCAGCTGTATAACAACTTGTCAGGAGGTGTCACTCATGAGCTGGAAAGTCAATTCCAGTAATATTAAACAAAGACATGGAAGCCACTCTGCTGGCTTATGTCCCTGCAAAACACATTCACTACTATCAGTTTTAGGTTTAAAAGAAAAAAAAAAAGCAAACCAAAAAGTTGAAACTATATTTTCTTTAAATAACAAAGAATGATTCCATAAAGAAGCCAATAATATCAGATGAGCCTAACATGCACATGAATTGGGCTCTGCCTTTCCCTTTGTCCATGATCTGCTAAAGACTATTTGCTGCAGCTTCCCCTGAGCTAGAATGCTAACATTCCAGCAGCAGGGCTGGATTTTACCAAGTAAAGGTGCTCCCCCACAACCCTGAGTTCAATGTGCATCACATGTTGCACAGCAGGGGGGAAGCTGATCTGCCACGAAGTCCTCATCTCTTTTGATGGATTCAGCCATGCATGCTGTGCTTGCATTTATTAACATTTGCATCCAGCAGGGAGTTACAGAAGCAAAACAAGGAATCCCTCCGGAGAAGCCTGGAACTGATTCAAAAGCAAGGAATGCAAAGGAAACAAAGACATAAAGACCCAGACTTATGTACCTCACTTAGCTGTAGGTGAGCTAATGGATGTCTGCTGCCTTAGCTTTGGTAATACATTTGCAACTCATGTTTTGGTTTGGGTGGTTTTGTTTTGTATTTAAATCTTAGCAGTCATTCCTTCCTTCCCACCTCTTATACCCAAGACTGACATTCACTCCTCTTCCCTTAGCCACCTCTTTTCTGCTTCCCTGACAGTGTGTTGGGAGTTTACATTTTCCCAATACATCCCTACTGCTTCTCAACACACCATGCTACTTCTATGGAGCCAAAGAGAGGATGCAGCACTTCAGAGACATGGAGTACACACTTCCCATTGTCCACAGTGCTGTGCAGCTCCCATGTATGATCCAGAGTGGGGCAGGAATGAGCTTCCTTGCATGTGACACAAGAGTTGTGCCTCTCAGGATGATCGCATTTTCTTTAGCTGTCCTCTAATCACCCTGCTTTCTTATTTCCTTAGGGGCCTCAGCTAAAGAAAAAGCCTCTCCCTGTAGTGCCAGTGTAGCACTGAAGCCTATCTTCCATTCCCTCCTTGCTGGTCTCACTAAGCTCATGCTGTGTTGCCCAAGAACACTCCCCATTTCCTAGATGGACTGTCACAACCCTCATCCTTGTATTAATTCTACCTTGGGTTACAAGTTGGGTGCATGCAGTTCTGCTTCCACATCCCTCTCTTCCTCTGCCTGGAAGCCTAGGCACACAGCTTGGGGTGTTTCTATAGGATTCTTTATACTTAATTCCATACAAGTTTCAGGGCTCAGTGGAGTAGTACATAAGAAAATGACAGAAATAAAGATTCCCAGCTACATCTAGCCATGAAATAGATATTCATCCAAAGTATGGTCTCATTGTACAGCTGCATTAACCCATGCCCTGGAGATGGGCCTGTACTCTTAAGGCAAAATACCTTCCATAAGGAAAAAAATACAATAAACACTTGTGAAGCAATACTGTTTTTCTTCTTCTGCCTGCTGATTCTTAGTCAGTCACTGAGCCTATATATGGAGATGCCAAAAGACAGCACTACACAAGAAAGAATGGTTATACTTAGTGATTCAAAGGGTCTTTTAGAAGTCCTCATGGACTCAAAGCTTGTTTTCAGTTCACCATATTCACAGCTATTTATTTTAACATATCACGTATTTCCTGTTTAAAATCAGTCTAAAATAAAATGTAGTTGCTGCAAACACTTGGCCTTTCCATTTTGAGCTCTCCATAGGGAAAGACTTATTACTGGTACATTCCAAACCAACTGAAATCCACATATTGGTACATTCCAAAAATTATAGATTAACTGGTGAGTCTTTGTGCTGATGTTGATGGGTCTTCTTGGCCATATAGTGCATCCCCCACTTGCCTTTCAAGCCATGTGAGCCAAAGTTGAAGGCCTTAAGGGTGTCAGATGAGAAGGCTAGAGGGGTCTTAAGATCAACAGCAACATCACTCTCACTTACACAGGAACTTTTTAGCCATGGATTTCTTCAGCATCACCTGTTTTGCCCTGGCTAGTTCACTCTGCAGGAGCAGGATTACTGCAACACACTATCCAATCCCATTTAGCAGCTCCTACCTCTCCTTCCAGGGCCTGTGTCACAGCACAGGCTCATTCCTAGAGCTTAGACCACCCATTGCTTCTAAACAGTCTTCTCTTCTTGCAAACAAACTTAGTAGAGCAGTGCCAGGACCTGACCAAATTTAATTTCAACTCAAACAACATCAGTGTGACCTCTTTAAGCCAAAGCAGAGAGAAACTGTACTTTGAAATGAGGTCATTACAAGAGGGGAAGAGGTGTTATTGCTGTTAAGCACATGAGGAGAACAGTGGTGAAGGGGTGGTTAAGGTTAAACAGCTAGAGAGATTAACATCTCGTGACTGCTTTTTGTTCACTGACTGGCAATAAAATAAACAGACTCTAACAAATAGGTGATTAGCCATGTCACTCTAATGCTGCTTTTGCTATTACAGTGCTGCCATGGTCTTCACTTTTCGTTGGCTAATACTTCCTGGATTTTAGATAAGGCTGGTAGAGTTAAGACAAGTAAGCAACTGAAATGTTGCTGTGCTAATAAGCACAAAAACAGTGTTTCATTTTCAGGGTGCATATACCTGCCCCTTTTGCTACTGCTCTCCTGCTGGCTGGCTTGTGCCAAGCCCAGCAGATCAGGTGGTTTGCTGTTCACATTTTCAGACAGCTGAAATCAGGGACCTGAAAGGTATGTGTAGATATGTGCACAGTGAGACTGATAGCCTTCTGTCACCTTGGCTGAAGTTTCCTCCTTTCCTGAGGAAGGGCTTTGCTGTGACCAGCCCAATTAGCCAGGACACTTCGGACTCTCTTTTCGGCTATGCAAAAAAGCAGTGTACATAGTTCAGAGCTCAGATGAGATGCTGAGTCATGAATTTGTTCTGCAGGACCCAGAAGAGACCTCTGATTATATGTGCACACTTATCAGCTGGCAGATGCATACAGTTGGTGCCTACCACTGCACTGTAATACTATCCACAGTAGGAAAGATAAGAAACCATTTTGGGTCTGTTCTTTCCAAGTGCCTAAATTCATGGTACTGAGGTCTTGTGCAGCAAGTGGGGAACTGAATGGGTGGGGCATCATATCATCCACTTTCCCTCTGGCAATTTAAGAGCTGCCCATTGTACCCCAGAGACTGACTGCAGTAGCAGAACTCGTGGTGACAACTTGGTGCTACAATTCACAGCAGAGAGTTTCAGTTAATGCTCTCAACTGTGAACAACACAGTAGCTGAGGCACACATACTGCGTGAAGGACCAGAGGCGCTAACTTCTTAAACTGCCCCACTCAAGCTTATGATTCAGTTTCTAGACTTTAGCTGGAGTTACAAGAGCACTGTGATACAAGCAAGCCCCAGTTTCTCCTATTTCTGCTACAGTAATCCTGACTTTAGACACATCACTACTGGTTCTCTAGCTATTCCTGAAATTCTCACTCATTTTGGTGAAGAGTTCTTTCCTAGGCAAATGTCAGGTGGAAACATTTAGCATTCATCTTGGAATGGCAAAACACCCCTTGTATGCAAGAGATCAGTTTATCTGTAGGACAAAAATATAACCAAACTGTTAGGAAAATAATCAGTTTTGTCAGAATGGAATCTAATTGTCTGAAGACTTAATCTATTAAGTTCATAGGACTATATATCTTCAAGAGGCAGCCAGCAGCAAGAGCAAATACCAGAGTCAACAAAAGGAGAAATTCACTTTTACTCAACCTCTCTAAAACAATGTAAAGGATGCTGGCTCCATGAGGGGTGTTCTGATTTAAGATCAAGCATCTCTGCTGCATTTTCTACATCTTAGAATGGCTTCAGGTGCTCAGAGCAGGAACTAGCCCAGGCTGGCTCCAAAAAGGAGTTTGTCTGCAGCAAGGCTGAGTCAGAGAGAACACCAACTGCCAAATCTTGCACAGACTGTCACCACGTTGAGTGCTGTTACGGAAGTGATCTGTCAGATTCTTCCACACAGGTATTTGCACTGCCAGAGCCAAACACATGGTCCATTTATGTGAAGCAAGTATGTGATGTTGTTGCCAAAGACATCCAGGGCTAGACTTCATGGCCTTTTGTGGGGATTTGCATTAACATCTGTTGTTCAAGGAACTTGTGTGCAATCTATGCAGCATATAACCATTTCTCTGCACCATTCAACATCCCAAAGATTCACCATCAGTTTGCCATATGGCTGGACTCAATCATAAGGGTCTTTTCCAACCTAGATGATTCTATACACCAGGGTTTACACCTTGAAATAGAGGCAGATATGACACTAGAGCACTCTTACAACTTGGCACTAATTTTCAGTATTGGGTATTTCTTGCATGCTTACACTGCTTGTTGCCAGTTCCGTCAAGTCCAGGTCAGCAACCCATCCAGCAAACAAAAATAAAGCTCTGAAGAGTGACAATAAATCAAGTACAACAGTCAAGCAAACATCATGACAAGCAAATCCACTGGGATGAACACAAGTGGTCTGAGGTAACCAAGAAAGCCTGGAAGAAAGGGGCTTGAATATAAAGAGGAAAGGAGAGTATCTGTTTAGAAATGGTGAGTGCACATTAGCCTCTGTCATCTAATAAGGATATAGTTGGAAACAGCATTAGTGAAGTGGCTTGTGATGGAAGGACATGAAGGCAGAGGTTTCATATCCTCCGTATCCATTTCCCCAGAAGACACTCTTTACTTTCCTGCTACAGCACTGAAAGCCCTTTTCTTTGGCCAGAAATCTTGTAAGCAAAGCTGTGCTTCACCAAGTCTCCCAAACCTTGCTCCCTTCTTATGTCACAAACACTCATTTGTTCCACTGAAGGTGGAGTCTATGTAGTTGCAAATAGAGAACTTTGAAATAAATTAGATCTGCAAAGGTGTTCAGCTGCATGCCAAGTTAACTGATGAATCATATTGACAAGGTCTTTACATGCTTGAAAGAGTTTCCCCAAATACAGAAGATTATAAATCTCTGTTTTGGAATGCTGTAATTTCTTTTGATCTGAAGCCTCACCTACTAGCGATATAAGACGTTTGTATAACTAGCTTTGCAAATTCCATGAAGCACTTTGTTTTTAAGAGCCTAAGATTTAAGTGTGAGAAAATGATAATTAGAATAGAACAAGTCACAGTTTGTTCCAGTTCTGCACCAAACAAGGAAAAAATAACAGTTCCGAAACAGAGGAACACAGTTTTCCATAACCTGCTAGCTGGGCTTTAGTATTAAAGCACTCTACTTAGCACTAAAAACCAATCCTTCCTTGCTTCAGATAGAGAGTAAATTGAGCTAAGTTCTGCTTGCTCCCTTTGACTTTTTAAAACAGACTTTCAAAAAGAGAGAATTAAACCAACTGACCCAAACTGATTCACAATGTTAGCCAGTAATTTGGATACACTGATAAACATCTAATAAAGAACCACTTGATTGCAATACTTTTAGCCTTCAGGAATGCAGTAGTTAACCACACACCAGGAAGAGACTGAAACTTTTAATCACTGTTTCCTCCAATCATGTCTGTGTTAAAATCTGTACATAACAGAGGGGATTAGTAAG